CCTAATGTTGGGATTAAAGGTGTGAGCTATAATTCTCCTTTAGACTGATTCACTCTTGTGTACATCTGGGTTCACAGAAATCCATCTACTTTTTATTCCTGAGTCCTAGGATTAAAGATGTGTACCACTAACTCCTATATTCTGACTGCTGGAATTAAAGGTGTGTGCCTAACTTCTGTGACTTGTGGCTGACTTTGCTTTTCTGAATCTTCAGTCAAGCCTTATAAATCATACATAATGTCACTACACATTTATTGAATCAATGATTTTTCACATATATGCATTGTTATGTTAATTTTGAAACACCTCTCTTTCCTGGAATAAACCCTTCCAGGCTTTATTATTATTATTATTTTAGTGTATACTTCTGGGCTCAACTTTAAGGATTTCTTCTGCAATTGGACATTGGCTTGTATATTTTCTTGCAATGACTTTGTCCGGTTTTATTATTAAGAAAATATTGTCCTCTACAATGCCAGGTATACCCTTCCACATTTACTGCTATATCTCAGTGCCACAACTGTGCCTGGAATTCGGTAAATGAATGGTGAACAAATAAACTGGCCTCATACAGGAGAGTCTCATGCTGGACACTCCCTTGGTAAGATAGATACATAACTTGAACATCAAAAACTTTAGACAATATGGAGTTTTAGGTCTAATCCTAAAGAGTAAGGATTGCAGACTTCCTTTGAAGATTTTTAATAATTATTGTTTTCTACCCATCTCCCATAGGTTTCTAAAAATGTCCTTGACAAGACATACCACAGGGAAAACTGAAAGCAGGCCTTCCTAGTGTGTGTGTGTGTGTGTGTGTGTGTGTGTGTGTGTGTGTGTGTGTGTGGTCACTAGTTAACATTCTACATTTGATTGTATACAAGTAAATAAATTGTATTACCCTGTTCTCTAAGTTTGAGATAGGATGTACAGGGGATACTGTAACTTGAAAGCATTTACTAATCCTCTTAGTTGTGGAAAACTGAAGAATTTGCCTGAGAACATATATACAATGATAAATCAATAGTTCTAAGCAGACAGAATGCCTGCTTTCCACTGCTGGCTGTACTGCCTTGAATATGAGATTCAACCTTTCTCTGCCTCCATTTCTTCATTTATTAAAAGAACAACAAAGGATTAACAACCACAAACATATTTAAATAGAATGGTACATGGAATGGCTCCCAACTCATAGTAAGCATTATATAAGCATTAACTACTACTTCATATTTTTATATTTAAAAAATACCATAGTTGAAAATTTAGTGATAAATAACAAAAACTCAGATAAATAAATTAACTTACAACACATTATTTGATATATAATGATGATATAGACACATTACAGCTTGGGAAATGCTTTTAATTCAGTCTTCATGGTAGTTTTTTTCTGGTAAATAGTGCAGATAAAGAAAGTCTCAAAACATTAACTTGTTCCACTCTACGTAGCTAACACAGACCATTTAGACACAAACATATGTATGGCGCTGGTATGAGCTGCAGCCTTTTCACATTAAAAAAACCAGCATCTGTAGAAGCATCCATCTTGGTGATATTTGCAAAAAATAGACGATACTGGGGCTGAACTTTCCAGCTGACTTTAGAATGTCTTGTTCCTCGTGTTTCTCTTTTATTCTCAGTCATATTTTCTCAAACACCCCAAGTCTTCCAAGACCCCCTTCTGTACCCACCTAGCTTTGTGTTCTCTCTTTAAAAAAAAGAAAAAAAGAAAGAAAAAAAACACAAAAGTAAAAAGCCACTAAAAAACATGGAGTCCAATTTTTTGGCCAACTGCCGGTGAACATGAGGCCTTCCAGGGAATGTGGCTGAGATACCCAGTGTCGTGTCTTTGATGAAAACTGATGACCCCTCTCCCAGCAGCTGTTGTTGGGGAATGGCTTCTTGGCTAGGGTGGGAGTGTGCTGAGATTTTGAATGGCTTGAGCTTGTGTAGGTCTTGTGATTTCATGTATGCACCTGCCCTGTTGTGTCTGGAAGACACCATTTCCTTAGAGTCATCCTCCACCTCCAGATCTTACAATCTTTCTGTTTCCTCTTTTGCATAGGTCCCTGAACCCTATAGGAGAGGGATGGGATAGAAACATCTCATTCAGGGCCAAGCAATCCCAAGTCTCTCAGTCTCTTGTGCATTGTCCAGGTGAAGGTCTCTGTTAATTACTACCTACTGCCAGGAGCTTCTCTGGCAAGGGTTAGGAGGTACACCGATACTCTGTCAGGTGTATAATTTAATTAGTGGAAGATCTTTTTTTTTTTTTTTGGTCTTCTTTCTGCCTTCCCATGGTAGATTTTGTCTCAGAGACCTCTGTGGATTTGCCCTGCTAAAAGCAAAATGACTTCAGAAAAATGCTAAAAAAAAATGGGCATCCGTCCCCTAAATCCCAAGCTCCAGTTATGTCAGATGGTAGATTCAAAGATATGAGACAAAAATACAAACGAAAACATGTGAGTTCTTTTGTCCTGTTGACTTCACTTTTTGTGTGCCTCATGGAGATCATTGCTTTCAAGGACAGGATAACTAAAATTTAAGAAACACACCAAGTGATCGGTGCTTCTGTGACTCCTCACTTCTGTATTCTAGCATGATCAATGCACCCACAAAAGAAACAAGAGGGACTGGGACCCATGGGCATTCCTTTGGCATTATTTCCCAAATACACCATAGCTCAGGATTGTGAATCTTAAAGACTAAATGAAGGCATCTCCTTCAGGGGCCTCTTTATCATCCACAATCAAGGTGTCCTTTGCCAGATAACTTCAAGTGATCTTCCTCTTGGTCGCTCTGTGGATGAGATTCTGGGACTAGTTCAGGCCTTCTAGCTCACTGACAAAAGGTGACGAAGGGTGACTGGTAACATAAGGTGTTACCATCAAGCCTGATGTCCAAAGGAGCAACGAATATTTCTCCAAGCAGAAGTTGAATTCTGGGCTGTTTTTACATAGGAAAAGTATCCAGGAAAAGAAAATGTCTTTGGTACTTCATTCTTGCTTAAGGACCATTTCATGTGCCAGTAGCAGGACATCAAACCATTGTTCTTTTGCAATGTCTTCGAAACCTGAACTGAGGGAAATGAAGTGTTTTTCTCCATCCTGTGGGCTGCCTCTTTGTTCAAATGGAGGAGTCCTTGGCTATACAGAAGGTTTTCTTTCCTAAGGTCTCAGTTATAAATTGTTGGTCTTTTTAATGCCTATGTTTTCAGGGTCCTGTTCAAAAAGTGCTTTCCAATGTCAATGAGTTCAAGCCTAGTCCCTATTTTTTTCTGTTAGATTACTTAATTCTAGATTAGTCTGTTTAACATCTACCAACCTTGTTTCAAGTATTGAACAATGTTGTTAAATGCTTTGTGTTGGGGACTGAAACAGCAGGCTGACACGGTCCCCTGACAACGAGCGGAACACGCACATCGACATACCACGTCATCGCCAAGTCACTCGTTACACTTTACGGACCTGCATGAGGACTCTACACATGCATGAAGCCTCAGTGCTCATGCTGTTTTCTTTTTAAAAAGCTTGTAACCCCCAACTCCCTAGTCCCCTTCTCTCTCTTTTTTTCCTTTTCTTGGGTTGGCTGGCAATCCACCTCCATTCAACCCCCCTCTTTCTCCTTCATCAATAAACTCCACATGGATTTGTTGATTCATGGTAAGTGTTTCATTACCAATCGCTGCAGCAAACACCTGCCACTTTGTAGCTGAGATTAATAGCTGGCTGAGATTAATTACTTCTTATATCTTTCAGCACTCCATCTCTGCCCTTCCCTTGGGTTCTGAGGCTACAGCATCTCTTCCATGTGCCCCCTCCTATTAAAGATACCTGTTCTTGAGAGCTAGAGTTTAAACATATTACCATTACTCACAGTAAGGTCTCATATCAACAGCTTTTGTTCAACATGGGTTACAGTTGATGTTTGCAATTGAAAAGGGGAAATTTTAAATATTAAAACATATTTGGAAAGATATTTCCTAGCAAAGGTGTTTTCTGAGTACGTGCCCATCCTTCTGACTAACCTGTCTAAGAGCTGGAAATCACCCCCATGAAGGTGTGTCAGAACGCCTCTTTCATCTATACTTCTCAGTGGCAGAGCTATGTTAAGCCAGATATGTACCTGGCTTTCACATGGGGGAGGATAACAGCAGAACATTTTACCATTGTTAGGTTTGTTTTGAAATAGTTCATGATGAATATCTTAAAGACATCCCTATGCATATAATGTAATATGATTCATTGGTGACATTGATCTTCAAAACAGAAATGGTTTTACTAGTTCCATACAGCCAACTGCATGGAACAAATTTGTAGTTGCATATTAATAGATAATACCAAATAAGCCCTACACATATATGTGTTCTTTTGATATAATAGGTTTGTATTTGTAGATTTATTAAAATCTAAGTACAATTGCTCACTTAACTGTGTGTGATTTAGAGCTACAACTAATTGCAATTGTATCTTTTAAAGCAGAACTTCGGGTTAGGGCTGACAAACGATGTTACAAGAGAGAAAATTTGGGGTAGCTAGTGAGGAACAATAGAGCTTACCTATCCTGCTCTAGTTGAGAGACCACCCTTCAGCTCCTGCCAGAATTAACATGGATGAAATAATCCCAGGCTTTGCCACAGTTATAAATAGAAGGCATGACACCATTCACAGTAAAGCATACATCTCACCAGAGTGCAGTATGTGCACATGAGCTGTGTCACATAAGTGGATCTGAAATTTGTCTTTGATGTTAAGAGACCCAGGTAACTCTCAATACAATTTTCAACTATCTCTAAGAAGGCACAACAAGGGAAGAATTTGCTGTATACTTTATACCTTGCCAGGCCCTACCCTTTCTCTCCCCTCCCACCCTACAGTTCCTTACCAGGAAGAGTAAAACTTTTCAAATGAAAGATTATGTTTCAAGATCTGGTAATTTTTTTTTTTAAAGATTACATTCCACCTAGAAATGGAGATCCAAAAATAAAAGTCAGAAACCCCAGATTGAGTCATTATCCAACACTATTTATTAAGCAGCATTAAAATCAGGAAGAATGTTACAGTTGAGTCTCAGGTTTAAATTTCCTTTAAATGCTCTGGAATCATGCGTTCCAGAGCATTTTGTATTCCAGTGAGTTACTGAGATGAGCTAGAAAACTAACTGCCTTCCCAGTATGTCTGCCGAGATAGTCTTGTAGTTCTTCACATTTATTGCCCTAAAATTAGAAAATGAATGCACATTTAATATTAGTATGGGTAACATACCTTTATATTCTTTGAGTATTTGCATTAAAAAGCTAAATTAATACATTTTATAGCATGAAATCCCATAGCAATTGTCTGGGATGGGGATTATAGGTGTTTTCAAGCCACCGAGTGGGCTCTGGGACTCAAATCCAGGTTCTCTAGATCAGCCACTGAGCCATTTCTCCAGCCCCTGTGCTCAGATCTGCCATTTTAAAAACTAGGGGTTATGGAACTGGAAATATCTCAAAGGTTGAGAAAACTTGCTGGCTTTGCAGAGGACCCAGTTTCAGTTCTTAGCACCCACAGGGCAGCTCACAACAATCTGTAACTCCAGTTCCAAGGGATCAAATTCCTTCTTTTGGCTTATTTGGGCACCAGGTACACACATGGTATACATACATACATGCAGGAAAAATTCTCATACACACAAAATAAAAATAAAGCAGCAAGTATTTGCTAAGGCATTTAAAAGAGAAATAATTTTTCTTGCTTTATAGACTAAATATAAGACAAGCCTACTTTTTGACATTCAGCGCCATTATGCTATGAATTGGTCTGCTTTTTGGTCCATTTGGTGGATGGAAAACCTTCTCCCCCTTTTCAGGAATCATCTTTTCCATTTTGGCCATATAAGGGTCAGCTGAATGCAGTGGGTAAGGTTCAAATGTCCCTGCCTTCATGCCACCAGCCTGTAGGTTAAAATGAGATAATTCAATGTGTTTGTAAAAAGTGTCTACAAAATTACATTGTGACAAAGTTCACATATTCCTTTCTAGTTGATAGACTTGGCTTTACATTTAAAGTTATCTATTCTGTTCAAATACCAGCAAAGGGTCCTTCTACTGTCAATTCTGTAGGATCCAAACATTGCAATTCTAATAGTTTCCTATAAAAACAGAAATGTTTGTATAAGATAACAATTTACACTGCTACCAAGCATTGATATTTTATTGCAGTTTTAATCAAGCTACCAACTAGAGATTTAGTAAGCCTATTAATGAAGGGATGAGAGAAATGTAAGATATATTTCTCTATGGAAGGGGATACGAACTTGGTATTAACATGAGAATTCTGAATTTCAGACAATGATGGCAGAATAGTCTCTCTCACCCACCAAAAAAAGGAATAGCATAGACATAGACATTGAGAGGAAAAAGTGATCTACTCTAGAATATCCTTAGGGTCTAGTACAAGAAGTCAATCCAAATATTTTTCTATCTACATGTGAGACAGGTCAGAAATTACTTGGACTTTTTAAACTGATTTGATAAGATGTTTATCTTTATGTTATACAGCCCAACCCTTTGTAAGAGGTACCATCCCTGAGCAGGTGGTCTTGGAGTATATAAGAAGGTGGGCTGAGCAAAACAGTAAGCAACTCTCTCGATGGTTTCTGTTCCTGCCTCCAGGCTCCTGGCCTGACTTCTCTCAACAATGGATTTGTAGGCTGAAATAAACCTTTTTCTTCCCAAGATGATTGTGGTCATGGTGTTTCATCACAGCAATAACAACCCTAACTAAGACAGAAATTGGTACCAGGACTGTGGGATATTGCTGTGACAGAGCTGGCCACTTCGTTTTGGCAGGACTGTGGAAGGAATTTTGGAACTTTGGGGTAGAAAAGCTGTTGAGTGCTCAGAGATGAGTAGGCTATCCTGCGGGAGCTTGGGAGTTAAGAATGTTGAGAGCAATGTAGAGGATGGAGGCCTGGACTGTGAAATTCCTGAAGGAAGTTTGAGAATCACTTGAAGACTGGCAGGACCATTGTGCACTTTGAACTAGGAACCACTCAAATGAAACCTTTGCTTTGCTGGAACAATTGATGCTGGTTAGCAGGAGCTGAGAAATTAGCATTGATTTAAAAAGAGACCAACAGCCAGGTGTGGTGGCACAGGCCTTTAATCCCAGCACTCAGGAGGTAGAACACAGGCAGATCTCTGTGAGTTCGAGGCTGGCCAGAATTGTTAAACAGAGATACCTGTCTTAAAAACCCAGCTATAGAGAAGACACACAGAGAGAGACAGAGACAGAGAGAACATCTTATTAATTGCAGCTGGTTCTCCAGTCCTTTCTAACCAGAAACACAGATTCTTAATTTGAACTCCTGCCTCAAGGCTCCTGCCTTCAGTACCAGTCCTGATGGCCTTCTGTGATGACTAATTATGATCTGAAACCCTAAGACAAACAGTCTTGTGATTTTCCAAGTCTTCCATATTTGAAACACAGATTATTTTGAAAAGGTCTAAGGGATCCTCAGGCAAGTAAAAATAAACAAATTTAAAAACATAAACATGAAGTGAATAAAAGATAAAGTGTATATGGTAATAAAGCCACCCAGGGAAGCCTTGAACAATGAAATAATAAATCAGTGGAAATCTGTGCTTACATATGATTTCAAAAATATAAAGTAAGTTATATTTTTTATTAAGTTTTGAACATGTATAAAATAAATTATTTTTAAGAAAAGGTAAATTATTCGAGTCAACCAAAAAGTGAGAGAGAATTGTAAAGGGCAGGAGGAACACTGAGAGAAGTGAGAAAGCTAATGAAGAGCTCCCTTGAAGCAGGGGAAACCCCAAACTCCCCCTGTGAATTTCTGCAAGTCTTTGTGAGAAAAAGAAATTTCCAGTGCCATTTAAGTTGTCATAAAAGATGGAATCCTCCATAATTACTTGACTATGCTGGAATCTACATTCTATATGAAATCGAACAAGGAATTTAAAAATAATTCTAAGTTATGGGTGCAAAGGGCAGGGAAGTAGTTCCTCCATGATACTTGTCTAATGTGTGCAAGGTCAGTCACAGGTTTGGTCCCCAGCACCACAAAAAAATGGGGCCAGGGGAAGAAGAGAATGAGAAGAAGGAGGAGGAGGAGGAGGAGGAGGAGAAGGAGGAGGAAGAGAAGAAGAAGAAGAAGAAGAAGAAGAAGAAGAAGAAGAAGAAGAAGAAGAAGAAGAAGAAGAAGAAGAAGAAGAAGAAGAAGAAGAAGAAGAAGAGAAAAGAAAAATGAAAAAAGGAAAAATAAGGAAACTTGGGGGGGGCTGTAGAGATGGGTTGGCTATGCAGAGTGCACATGCTCTTGCTGAACATCCCAAGTTTGGGTCTCAGTACCCATTTCCAGTGGCTTACAACTGCCTGCCTGTAACTTCAGCTCCAGGGGATCCAACTCCCTCTTTTGGCCCCCTAGTACACTGCATCCACATGCAAATACCCACATACATACACATAAATAAAAAACAAAAGTATTTTTAAAAAGATAACACACACACACACACTCACACACACACACACACACACACACCACAACACACACACACAGAAAGACACATGAGTAAATTAAAAAAGAAAACTGGTGTAAAAATTCTTAATAAAATACTAACAAGCAAAATGTATATTATATTCAACACAGCAGTGGGAGTGACTCTAAAAAATGTATTATTGCTAGTCACCTTTTATAACATGGTAAAAACAGAAAGCAAAACAGGATCTAATAGTTATGCTGCTTGATAACAAAATAATAAAAAGCAGCACTTATTCCTGAATTGTTCCTATTTGGAGCACTTACAAAAATAAGGCATGGCCATGTTATAAGATGAGAAATATTGTAAAACAGTAAAATTACAGATAGCATGTACCTTAACCCAAAATAATTAACAAAATACCTATTAGAACATAAGAGCACCTAATGGATATTTGTTTTAAAAACTGAATGTTTCTATAAGGACAGCTAATGCAAAGGGGAACTACTGAGCAGAGCCTTAAAGTAACTAGGAACAAATACAAAATGTGTAGACCTGGGTGATGTAGAGCAGAAAGCTGCACTGTGTAAGCAGTTCACTTCTAGATCAGAAGATCCTAGTTATAAATATGTTACTATAACAAAGATTCTAAACATTTAATTTTTCAACAAAGTATCACAGAGGGTCTGTGAGCATGTAGGGGTGAGGGTGTGTGTGTGTGTGTGTGTGTGTGTGTGTGTGTGTGTGTGTGTGTGTGTGTGTGTGTGTGTGTTATGCTTGTGTATGGTGATGCATGCATGCATTTGAATGTGCAGGTGTGTGCAGGTGTGTGCACGCGTGCAGGTAGAGACCAGAGGACATCAGGTGTCTTTCTCTGTAATCGCCTGTCTTATTGCCTTGAGAGAGGTTCGCTCACTAAACTGGAGGCTCACTGTTTCTTATAGGCTGACTAACTAGCCAGCAAGCTCTCAGAATCTGCCTGTCTCCACTCCCCAGTGCTGGGGTTATAGCATAGCTTTTTACATGAGTGCTCAGGATTCAAAATCAAGAGAAGTGCTCTTACCCACTGAGACATCTTCCAAACCCTGTATCAGATGGTTTTGTTTGGGGGCTTTAAAGTAAGTCTGACGTTCTACAGAATAAATATTAGTCAATATTTTGTGATGCAGAAAAAAGAAGAAAAGTGATGCAGAGGAAATAAAGTACACCAATCAGCTGGAATACAAATTCAAAAATATGCTCTCAAAAATGTGAATTTTGACTTTATGAAGACAGTGCTTTGGGGCTAGAGAGAGTGGTTAAGAGGACTGGCTGCTTTTGCAGTGGATATGGGTTCTGTTCCCAGAACCCGCATTACGTGACTCACAACTGTCTGTAACTCTATCTAGTTCTAGAGCATCCCATACCCTCTTCTGGCCTTCAAGGGCACCTGCATATACATGGTGCACATGCATACATAGATGCAGCAGACTAGAAAAGGTATTTCAACACAAAGGACAAAAATAGATATGTTCTGAGCATATAGAAAACTCTTCCAATCTGAACAGCACATGCATCCTAGAGAGTCTACAGTGAGAAGAACAGGAACTGCCAAAAACAGGAAGGCCAAGGATCTGCCAGAAACAGGACTAGTGTTCATAAACAGTCAAAGCACTTTTGTTACTAATCCCAACATTTAGATGCTTCTAAAGCAGCAGGCAACTTGATTTTCATCATTTCAAAACCTAGATGAGTGATGGCTTTCAAAACTTCATTGGAAATGCAAACATATTTGAAGCCAGCAGCAATTGTTTCACTCTAACACTTTTCTTATCCTAGCCACACTTTGTAGCTCTTTTTCTTCAGGGGTTTGTTAGGGGGGGTGGTATACGGCATGCATATATGTGTGCTGGTATGCTTGTCAGTGCATGGGAATGTTAGATGTCTTCTGATTTCACAGGCCACCTTACTTTTTGAGTCAGGGCTCTCACTAAAGCTGGAGCTCACTTTTGGCTACACTGACCAGTCAGAAAGCACCCCATGATAAGCCTGTCTCCTCCCTCTATCCTATACCCATCAGCAAGTTTACATGAGCATGCTACCAGGCTCAGATTTTCCTGAATGCTGGGGACCCAACTTCAGGTCTTCATTGTGCACAGCAAGCACTGTACCCATAGAGCCATCTCTCCAGCCTGCTTTGTGGCTTTATATGATCTTTTAAAACCTTATACAAAGAAAAGCTGATTATTTACATGAGCACTACAATAATTTAACAGCAAAAGATAGGTTCTTTCCCACCCATCCCTCCATGCCCCTCCCTCATTCCTTCCAGTCTTTTGTTTCGTTTTGTTTTGTTTTGTTTTTCGAGACAGGGTTTCTCTGTGTAGCTTTGGTGCCTATCCTGGCACTCACTCTGGAGACCAGGCTGGCCTCGAACTCACAGAGATCTGCCTGCCTCTGCTTCCTGAGTGCTGGGATTAAAGGCGTGCACCACCAACGCCGGGCTCCATCCAGTCTTTCTATATGGCCCAGGCTGGCCTTGAATTCAAAATCCTCATGTCTCAGCTGGAGCTGGAGCTCACTTTTGGCTACCAAGTGTCAGGTCGTATTTCTTTGTACTGCTCAATTATTTCTCATTCCAAACTTTACCTTTTTACCCGGAGAGGAGGGCTTGAAAGGCTTAAGGACGATTTCCTTCTTTTCTTCTCTTCTAATTGGAGGTAAAGGACGCTCTAGCAAATAGGGGTTACTATCAAAATAGTCTTTAGGGTGAAGGTTCAACTTGAAGGGTGACCCTTTGAGTAGCCGATGGTGTTCTTCATTATCTTTCTGTAAATGAAAGCATTTGAAAGTATACAACATAAGTTATACATGTTAGATATGATTTGGAAATTCAGATCACCTTTCATATTAACTACTCATGCAAAAGAGACATGCCTACTTATGAATAAGCACTAGTCTCATTTTGAACAGAATTTACATGAGATACAGCAGTCTATCCCTGAGAAAATACTTACTACACATCTGGATAGCAGGAAGGAAAAAAACTGGTCTCCAAGTCAAATCCCAGATCCTTCTTGCTTTTTAGCATGTTTTTAGGAATTAAAGGAAGTGGCTGACCTTTGGAGTTACATCTTCAAGTGCAAATAAGAATACTATTTCCCCTTGATATTGTTAAAGATTAAATGAGATTATGTAGAGAAAGTATTTGGCACATGGTTGGCCTTTAGTAAATATCAGTTTTTAGTTCTAAGCACAAAAAATACTTAGTGCTTACATTATAATATTTTTATATTATAGTATCTTAGCTAGCTAATAAAACTCAAGCAAAGCAAAGGTTATGTTTTCAGTCTTATATTGCAATCCTTTCTATGTGGAAGAACTGTTTAAAAATTGCCAGATCTAGATAAAATACCAAAAAAAAGAGTTGTGAAATACAGACTTAAAAAGATGAAATAGGTTTTTTTCAGTTTTACACACATGAAATTTGATATTTCATCCTTTAACAAGCTGAGTGGAAACAACTTAAATGAAATCAAAGCGTTCAAGAGAAGACATGTATTCCCTAGTAGGTTGTGTTGGCTAGTTTTGTGTCAACTTGAAACAACTTGGAAAGAGGGACTCTCAGTTGAGAAAATGCCTCCATAATATTGTCCAGTAGCATAAAAAAGAGATACATTGATCAATGGAATTGAACTGAAGATCTAGATATAAGTCCACACATCTATGAATATTTGTTGAAGATGCTGTATTTTCTTCAATGTGTACTTTTGGCTTCTTTATCAAAAATCAGGTGTTCATAGATGTGCCCTTTGTATCAGAAATGTTAACATTTACCCTAAGTAATTCTAACGCCTGCTATTACACAATTTTTAAAAATGTGTATGGGTGTTTTGCCTACATTATGTCTGTTAACTTCTTGCATGCCTATTGTCAACAGAGGCCAGAAGAGGACACTGGATGCCCTGGAACCAAAGTTACAGGTGGTTGTGAACTGCTATGTAAGTGCTGGGAATCAAACCTGGGTCTTCTGGAAGAATAGCCAATGGTGTTAACAACTGAACCATCTCTCCCACCCCACATAGCAATGTTTTGAGAATACTATGTTTACTAGACTGTGGCCATGTGTTAGCAGAACATTGTATTTGTTTTACTAACTGTTGGCCTAGAGTATTGCTGATCAACGCACTGATACCCCAGTGATCAAGAGTCAGAACAAAATAAAATTTTATTGCAAGTTATTTCTCAAAGGTTGAAAGGTTCAAAACAGGTGATTTTACCTTATAATTCAGTTTTGCTGCATCATACAAGTCAGAAGAGTGTGAGAGCTGCTTGCCTATGGTAACATTGGCATAGCTGAAAAAAAATGAGTAAGTAACCGTGAATGCAGGGCTCAGATGATTTTACAAATTAAAGCAAACAAACAAGGATAGTAGGAATATCTTACCCATATCCAGTCCCCTTTTTTCCTGGGTTGGTATATAAATTCTTCCCAGGTGGCTTATATTCATCCTTGGGTTTTAACTGTGCACTGAAGAATGGGATAGGGCCACCAATTGTTCCGTAATAGCTTCCTAATCCACTTCTTCAATGCCATTTGGGGTTTAAAAATGAAGATATTAAAATGTCAAATTTCATGTTTATATATTTCACCAGAAATTATAAACATATTTTAAAGAATTGAAAAGAGCAGAAATCTTGCACTAGGTATGTGTTTCCTCCTGTGAAATGGGCCGTAGATCTAATCAGAAATCAGTTGGTTACCCCTATAAGTCATGTCACTATTGTACCCATGGGCCTATCTTGCCACAGTGGTCATTCTTGTAGTTCATAGCTGGATAAGACTTTTTGCCCCACAACAGGCTACATAGCATCCTTTACTACTGAGAGTTGTGATGGGGGACATTCTGTATGCTGTGAATATATGTTTCTCTTATTAGTTGATGAATAAATGCTGACTGGCCAGTAGCTAGGCAGGAAGTATAGGCAGGGCTACGAAACTAGGAGAATTCTGGTAAGAGGAAGGCAGAGAGGAACCACCAGAGGAACACCATAAAGTTACCAGGAAGATAGGACACTGGGCATTCTCTGGCAAGCCAAGACCATGTGGAAATACTTAGATTAATAGAAATGAGTTAATAATTAAGAGACATCTAGCCAATAAGAAGTTCAAGCTATTGCCAAACAGTTTATAATTAATATAAGCCTCTGTGTGTTTAGTTGGGACTAAATGGTTGTGGGACTAGGTGGGACAGAAACTCCATTTACAGAGCTGGTCATCAGGAAGGAAGCTTCCTGGACAGTACGAACTTAATTTCTTCATGTTCTTTGATTCATACATATTTATAAAAAGAATTTATAAGGGATAATATTCCACCCAGAAGTCATAGGTTGCCAAATAAAAAGCCCAGTTTCAGGTATAGGATACCTCCCTTCAACTTTTGGGCCAGGTCTGTCCCAGAGAGTCCTACAAACAATACAGGTTCTTGCCATTGCTCTTGGATGTCCATCATAACTTCATGGTTTAGACCCTATTGCTGAATATACATGAATCATAAAACATGAAGAAATTAAGCCGGTACTGACCAGGCAGCTTCCTTCCTGATGACCAGCTCTCAGAACCAAAAGATGTTATTTAGCCTGTTGTGGGGCAAAATGTTATCAGCTATCTTATCTAGCTATGAACTACAAGAATGACCACTGTGGCAAGATATTCCTATAGGTACAATAGTGGCATGAATATTATAGGAATAATCAACTGATTTTTGGTTGTATTTAAGGTCAACTCCTCAAAAGGAAAAAGGCCTGGTACAGTAAATCTAGCCAAGAACCCATGGTAGGGATCTCACCTTCCTGGAGGTAAACCTATGATTAATATTCTGATAAATGCATATAGGATCAAACTGCTCTCCAAATTTCTATCTCTATACCCATACATTAATACATCTCAGACATCCAACAGACGAATTTCTTTCTGCAGTGGACAGTGGTTAACTCAGAAACTCACAACTGGTCAAAGAACAGAAAATAAGCACCAATGGAGTGTTTATCCACAAGTGGGACATGTGTAGGACCCCCTCACTGCCACTGCAAGGCTCAGGAACGATCTCCAAATAGAGGATGGGAAGATTGTAAAGGTCAGAGGTCAGGGAGGACCAGAGCAAAACAGTGTTCCTGAACAGGACAGGACCACTGCACTACTGAACTCAAAGCATTTGTGGCTGCCTATACTAGACAGACTCAAGACCAAGCCGATCAACACTGCACCATGGGAGGGGAAAGAACTCATGAGCTTTTACCCCTCACTGAGAAACTGTGGACAGTGTGGCTTCTGGGAAAGGAGAATTGGTTGTCTTTAGGGTGTGGTCCTTAGTGAGTCCACTAAGTTCCAGTGGCCCCACATCTAGGAGTATTTGGGCAGCACAAGTTAAACTCCTCAGGTTATTTAGAAAGAAAAAGAAGGTATGAGGTTGAGTGGGGGGTAGAGAAATGGAGGATGGAGAGGGGGAAGGACAAATATATTGTAAGAATTTCTCAAAGAATTAATAAAAATATTACATTTATAAAAGATTACCTGTTAGATGGAAGTCTGAACTATAAAAATGAAGTTTCACTAATTTTGAGTAAATAAGAATGAAATTACACTTTGGTCAGTCCTCATCTACCATAAATTCTAAATTGGGAAAAATCAGATTTATAAAGTGTAAGTGCAAGTCATATTTAAAATTTCAATTATGTAATAAAGCATATAGTGCAGTCTTGAGATTTAATGGGAAGAGGGAAAAAAAGCATTTTCACTTTGACAGTTGCCATAATCCAAATACTGGTAAATGCCATGATTGTATACTCACAATTATTTAAAAATAATCTATCAGTGAGAAATTATTTTCTTTGTCTAAAAAGCATTTCTCTTCATTTCACATTAGTATTTATAATTTTTATAAGCAAAAAAATATACAAGGGCATAAACATGGTGACCCAAGGCATTTTCCATCATCGATTTTGCAAAATTTTTTTAAATGTATCTTCATTATTTAGTTGGCTTTTATCAAATAAACTAATAGAGAATGGCGACTGGGATAATAAAAAGCTAATATGATAAAGATCTATTTAAAGTTGCCTGTCAATCTGTACCACCTAAATAACTGTCTCCACTAAAGACAATCATAGTTCAAACTTGCATCCTACAGAAAAACATCTACTTTAAATTAGAGAGGAAAAGGAGATAGGCAGGACATTTCCCCAAAATACTTACGGCTTTTTCTCTCCACTACTAGGGATGAAGGCTTTGCTTAGATTTTTTTTGGATTCTGCCATCATATACTGTCTCCGAACTTGATTCAGATTCTGGTAGCCTTCCCCCTCAAAAATCCTTGAAAACTGGGGGTCAAAGTACCCTGCTTGGAGACCGGACATTTCCTTTGTTCCCCCGGGTAGCATCTGTCTATTTTTGCTTGCAGCCTCATTAAAGGGTCCTTCATAAATAAAGAATATTATTATCTTGACTTCAATACTAATTAAAGGACATTAAAACAAAAACAGAAAAAAAATCTCAAGATAATCAGCCAAGAGTTTGAGTTGTAAAACACTAAAAACTGCATGAAAGGCAACATTTTGACAGTAAAATCTAAGAAGTTTTCATGAATACATCTGAACATTTGGGCTGAGGTGGGTTTTTTATTTGTTTGTTTTTTAACTTGAATTTTTGAGATGGGGATTCTTTGGGTGGCCCTAGTGTTCCTGGAACTCACTCTGTAGACCAGAATGGCCTCCAATTCAGAGATCTGTATGCCTTTCTTGGGCTGGGATATCCTATATCCCAGGCTGGCCCTAAACTACCAATCCTTCTGCCTCCACCTTCCAAGTACTAGGATTACTGTAGTGGACCACCACACCCAGCTAGTTTAGATCTTCTTGTCAAGGCTTTTCTTTAAAAAGAACTCTTTCAGCTGTGCAGTTAGCATTTATGTTCTTTTTCAGACAAGTGAGAATGGGTACCATTCACGGATTCAGATGATTACTGTAGAATGCCATCTAAGACAAAAAGCTAAAGTAAGCTTGGGCAGGAGAGATGGCTAAGAGCACTTGCTGATCTTGCAGAGGACCTGGGTTCACTTCCCAGAACTTCAGTTTCCAGGGAATCTGGTATTTCCTTCAGACTTTCATGAACACCAGATACACACATGGTACACATACATACCTGCAGCCAAATACTCATACACATTAAATAAACCAATAGAAATTTTAAAAGATAAAGTATAATATTCTAGAAGAAATTTACCAAGGGAAGAAATAAAATTATGCATGAAGAATAAAAAAGGGGTGTCGCTCTAGCCACAGCTCAGTGGTTAAGAGCACTCCCAGCACCCACAAGGCAGCTAACAATCATCTGTAACTCCAGTTCCAGAAGATTCAATACCCTCTTCTGGCCTCCTCAGGCACGATGGTGCATATGGTACACAAACCCACGGATGGGTAATATACTCACACACATAAAAAGATAAATAAATCTAAACTTTTTTTGAAGAATAAATGAAGGTAAAGGAGCCCAATAAAATGAGCTTCTACTCATTTAAAATTAAGTCCTTCTTAACTCTGCTGCAATGTCACAAGTTGTCACAGTGTCACAATGTCAACACTAGAACTCAATGCTCTAAAATATATACCATTAAAAACTAAATATTGGCAGGCATGGTGGCACACACCTTATCCAGAACTCAGGAAGCAGAGGCAGGAGATCTTTGTGAGTTCAGGGCCATCCTGATCTACATAGTCAGTTCTAGGGCAGCCAGAAATGCTAATAAAGAGAATATATGACACACACCTTATCCAGAACTCAGGAAGCAGAGGCAGGAGAATCTTTGTGAGTTCAGGGCCATCCTGATCTACATAGTCAGTTCTAGGGCAGCCAGAAATGCTAATAAAGAGAATATATATTCTCTTAAAATAAAATCAAAATTTTTGTATGGAAGATGCACGCTATTTATCTATTAAAAAATGCCAAAGACACTCACGATTAAATGGTGACTCATATTTATCTCCCACGGTGATGTATTCCATCTCACTGAAGAGGCCAATCCTCTCCATATCGGTTTTCCCTCCTTCCCCAGGCATGATGGCTTCTTGTGGTGAACTCCAAAAATGTCCTTAGATCCTCTTTTGCAGTAAAATCCTACTTTACGTTAAAAACTACAGGGGATTTTTTTTCTTAGTGAAAAGAATGACTATTAAATTTTAAACCTAATTCTTTTTAGTTTTTGGATTATTCAGCTTTGTTCATCACTCCCCCCTCCCCCACCCCGCGCCGGCCACCCCCATCAGATCAGCTTGTGCACTGTCTTAATGAAGTTAAGTCCTTCTTAACTCTGCTACAATGTCACAAGTTGTCACAGTGTCACAATGTCAACACTAGAACTTCAAGCTTCATTATCTAATGGTGTAGGCAACTTTTGTTTTCCCCAGAGGGCTGATTGGTTCCACAGCTGGGAACCTTGGTATGAGTGTGAATCCTCTCTTCACCACCTTCTTGAGACAAAGGTCTTCACTAAGCTGCCCACACTGTAATAGAACTCCTAGAATCAAGGGAACCTCTGGCCTAGCCTCCAGAGGGCCTAGAACGACAAAGCTCTAACACCACCCACTACTTCTTTAGTTATTTACCAGAGTAACCCAGCACCTGCACAGCCAGGGAGGAAGGCTCTTGCTGCCAACTTTGTCTTGCCTTAATTCATAAATAAAACTTACTTTCATTCACACATTTAACAAATGTTTTGCAACCCTCTCCTTCTGGTCAGGTAGAAGTAGGAAAACGGACTTTTAAAGGCATAAATCTTGGTTTACAACCAAGTACACAAGAAAATCGTAGGATTCCACACAAGCACAATATGGCAAGTTCCCTACAGGAAGGTCCTTTCGTTATAGCCCTGCCCACTGCAATCTTGCAATTTACTCAATAAATACTTTTCTACGCCAAGCGGGTTGGGGTGCAGCGTTGGCTAAAAGGGAGGAAATAGCTGAACTGAGTTATTTCAACTAGGGAAAGGAAGCTTGAAGTAGGCAACCCAACTCCTGGAGGCCAAGTCACTTATCCGAAGGGCACCCAATCCCACAACCAGGATCAGATAAGCCTCAGCTTCTGTCGGGGTCTGGGGGCCGCGTGCCTGCGCCTGCGCCTGCGCCTGCGCCTGCGCTCGTGCTCGCACCTACAGCACAGCTGCAGAGCTGAGCGCGCCTTACAGTTCTGCGAGCCGCATCTGGCGCTTGTTGGGCTGCGTTGCCGTGGGAACCGGAGAAACCATTCTCAACACGCTACCGGCAGTCACCAGAAGATTCGCATCAGCACAGAACATCTGAGAAGATTGATGAACGTCCGTAGAACACACACGTCTCAACCAACAAAATCTCTCGAAAATGAAGCCTTCTGTTTCCCAGCCCTCTAGCCACGGGTGAACAGTTGCAATGTGGTATGCTCCGTGATGGTTGATGTGAGGCATTCTGGGAGTTGTAGTCCGTCTGCCGGAGCCCTGTCTTCGTCTGGCCTTGACGCCACTTCCGGTCCGACCTTGGCTTGCGCGAAATCGTCATTCCTGTCATCTCCAGGTGGTGAGCCTGGTAAGTGATTCTGAATGTCAGTGACCGTCTGGTGTTTCCTCCTAGGACTTCGACAACCTTTAAGAAAACGGCTCCAGTCCCCTGGGAGGAGACGGTCCCAAGGTGCCAACGGCGGCGCAGTGCGAAATGTCCTCCCTTGGGTCTCCCAGCTGCCACGCATCCGCGCCTCAGCAGCACCCGGACACTGACCCTCCGGGTCAGTCATTGCGTCTTGACAGTGAAGCACCCGTGGCGTATTTGGAACTTATGCAGAAAGAACTTCTGATTTTGGAAAAACAGGCGCAATTTCCTTCATATAGTCTACTCCCTTAGGTTACATGGCGTCTCACTCTCTGTTTTGGGTCCTGTCTCCTAGCTCAGCCAGGTTCTGCCATCTATCTGTACTGTAAATGTTTATCTTCTTCAGATATACTTTGCACCCAGAGCTTTCTCTCCTTCCTTCTGAACTCAATTCATGAATCTAGTTAACTGCTTCCTTTTAAATAGATTACTCAAATCAGCAGTTGCAGAGCTGAGTCATCCATCATCTCCACCTCCTGCTCTCTCCACACTCTTACTTCAGAAAACATATCTCTACAGATAACCTGTCTTGTGCCCACCAAGCACTTGACAGATGTGCCTCATCTCAAGTCAATAATCAAATCTTTTGGATTCTGCTTCTGAGTGTCTATAATATCACCCTCTTTGCCCTTAAACCATCCTTGACCTTTGCCCTTGCCATCATCCAATCGGGTCGTATTCTAAGTGGTCTTTTTCTTTGGTTTGGATTTAAGACCAGGTCTCACAAAACCCAGGCTGTCCTTGAACTTGGTATACAGCCGGGAATGACTTTGAAATTTGATCTTTCTGCCACCACCTTCCAGGTGTTGGGATTATAGTCATACACCACCACATCGGTCTTACTAGATGTTGTTTTAAGCAATTGGTCACTCTGCCTGGAAAGGGCACTTTGGCACACAGGAATACATATACCACACATATACTCCACACTCACACACACACACACACACACACACACACACACACACACACACCAAGCTCATTATGACCAGGTCTTTTGTTGTATACTATTCTCTTTTGTAATATATCATTCACTACCTGAAACTCAGCATATGGATCTAAGTTAAGAACTGATAGTCTCTTCCATTCTGCGGATGCTTTTTCTCTCTGTCAGGGGCAACTTTGACGTAGGCCATGTATATATGCTAATCTCGGTGTGTTTTTTAAATGTAAAATCATGGTTGGGCCTTTTAAGATGGTGAGGTCTACCAGTGTCTACTCTCACTAGCAGTAGTTACTTAGTTCTCATTGGCTTAGCCACAATCTCTCAGTATAGTATATTAGGCTCAGTGTTCAGCACATCTTTTTTTTTTTTTTTTGTGGTTTTTCAAGGTAAGATTTCTCTGTGAAACACTCCTGGTTGTCCTGAAACTCACTCTGTAGATTAGTCTGGCCTTGAACTCACAGAGATCTGCCTGCCTCTACCTCACAGTGCTCCCACCGCTCTCCTCTTGTCACATTCTTAAACTAGATTGTTTTTTACCACTGATGTTTTCATGCCATTGCTAAATGCATCAAGACTGTGATTAGCAGCATTTACACATTGCCTCTGAACCATTTTTTCACATTGTAACCACTATGAAAGGAATCGAGGAGGCTTTTATGTATCCTTGTGCCTGGGACAGCCTGATGCCAATGAACTAGAGTCTCTGGCCATGCCTCCTGGGTGTCAGAAATTTAAGCTCCCTGGGTGATTTCAGTATGAAACTGAGGTTTGAAACACCCTTTTTTAGGATTTGCAGGAGTTGTTGTATATTTATGCATAAGGAATTAACCCATGAAATAAGTGCAAAATTAATGCCGTATCCTAAACTGAAATAGATTCTAATTTATGTAAAGATGAGTTTGTCCTGCCCCACAAGGGAATTGTTACATTTGTTCTAGGTGACCCGCCAAAGCTATGGATATACTCTTCAGAATAAGAGGAGGCTTTGATCTGGCTTTTCAGCTAGCCTCTCCTAAAGGTATGTCTTTTGTTATCAGATTTATAGTGATGGATTCTGAGGATGGGATAAGAAAAATAAACTAAACTCAAATTTAGATACTATATTTTAACTCCTTTACTAGCCCACAGGGCACCTCTGTAAATTAAAAGATTTAACCTTTCTTATGAACCTTTAGGGCTGTCTTGGAAGAAAATTGACTTTTACACACACACACACACACACACACACACACACACACACACACACACACACAGAGAGAGAAAGAGAGAGAGAGAGGGGGGGGTAAATAGACTACCGGGTTCTACACATTGCAGAGTTGTAATTGTATGTTGGGTTACCCCATGTCCTGGTACCCAACTCTTTTAAATACTGTAGTGTGCTGGAATGTTAGAAGAAATTTGGAGAAGAAACTCAGGGGGATTTTTGTAAGGTAAATTCCAGGATGTCTACTAGCTTCTGGCTGAGGCTGATGCCAAACACTGAGATAGAGAGTACCCAGGGAGGAATGTGGGGAATTACAGCCGAGATGCCATATATTTGAGATGCTGCTGGGACATTGCGTTCAGGTTTCCAGTGAGCACTTAGTCGAATCTGAAACTCAGGGGAGAGTGGTCAGAAAAGGGGGTGGAGAACATGAGATTGGAAGGACACTGGCTAATAACTCCCTGATGATAAATGAAATCATCCCTACAAATGCCACTGGTGATTTTGGAGCCACAAGCATTCAGAAGGTAAGGGATGGAAAGTGAAGGGGAAACGAAGAGTGACTGCAAACAGGGGCAGGGGTTCTCCTTGAGGGTATGAAAAATTTTATAATGATAATTTTTAAAAAGGTAGTATTGGCTGTAAATTGCTACAGACACACTAAACGCCATTAGTTGAAATTTATGGTCTCAGAATTCTAAAGAGGGAGAGGCCAGAATTGTGCTAGTGATTGAAAAGGAGGGAGAGCATTTGAAAGTCATGTCTTCTGTCTTCTTGGATTTAAAAACATCCCTGTCAAAAGTTTGAGATCCTTCTGATTTGTTTGCCTTTCATTTAGAAATGTTTATCAAGAATGCTCTAAGACAGGTGTTGAATGACCTGACTACCAAGCTGTCTTCAGACGCTCTTGTATTCAGAGTCTCCAACAGCTCCATGTATCTGTGGCCCAACAGTGACACAAACACTGGCGAGCTGACTGACAGCTCCACCTGTAAGAACATAGTGCACCTCATCCAGTGAGTATTTAGACAGTTTCTGGGAGTGTTTTCAAGGCGTCATTTCACACTTGTAAATGTCTTTGTACATCAAAATTTTAGGTTTGAGCAGGAAGAGGATAAAAAGCGAAAATTCACAAAAAAGAAAGACAAAAAGTCATCAGACATGGTAAGCAAATCTGTCTTTTCTACAGATAAAAAAAAAGTTAAATCCTTGAATTTGGAGCTAAGTGAGATATAGGTCATTATTTAATCTTGCCCTCCTAGAATACAGAGGCCTAGAAATGTTATGTGTCCGTTTTACATTTCTAAACATGTTTTCTTGATGTAATGTGTAATTTTGAAGTTTTTATTTTATTTTGATCCTGCAAAACCAAAACTGATTTCAGTAGGTTTATAAGTTGCTTAAAAGAAAAAAAAAATCATTCATAAACTTGGTAAGTAAGTAGACCAGCCTGGCTTCAAACTCAACAGAAATTCACCTGCTGAGCAATGTTATTTGGAGGTTTTCTGTTTTCTGTTTTTTACTTTAGGTCTGTCCAAAAGTGGAAAGAATAGCACAATAACCCAGGGGTGCCCTACACATGACCCTAATACTGACAAACACGTGGACAATCTGATTCCATCTTTATTTGCCACACACTCTGCATTCATACAGATTATTTTGGAGCAGAAAGGCACTTCCTGAAGTTACTTTCTAAAATGTAGCTTTATATATCGTCGTTTAAAACTCTATTTATATTCAGTGTTTAATGTTTCACAAGCTGACTCTTAACTGTCTGTCTGTACAGCAACAAATAGTAAACATAGATCTCATGCTGGAAATATCAACCTCTCTGGGAGCTGTAACCCCCATCATTGAAAGGGAAAATGAAGAACACCACTACATTAATATGAACTTGCCGATCGATGTAGTTGTAGCTGTTGCTCCAGAAGAAACGTGGGGAAAGTAGGTATTTTTTTAGTACTACTGCCACATTTAAATGAGGACCCTGCTATAAAGTAATCAGAACTGAGTTCTTCCAAAAGTGTGGCACGAGTCATATCCAGGGTGATGGGCTGTTTTTACTGTGATATACTCCTTATTTTCAACCCAAGAGTCATTGAATGATTAAATATTTATTTGGAAGAAGTAGGATAGCACACTGAAACCTAGAAGGCTTCCTCTATCCAGCCAGAGAAAATATAGTTACTTTGGCTTTGCATAATTTAGACTTTGTTTGACAAACCTTGTCCAGTGAAAGTTTTTTACTCTATACCAGACATATTAGCTATATATCTTCATTGTAGCCACCATATCTTTTGTTTATTCACTTAAGTATTTTCTTCTACAGAGTCCGAAAACTTCTAGTGGATGCAGTTCATAAC